ATTTGTTCCCTCTCTAATTTTAATTTTTCTAGTAGTGAGCATATTTTACATCTAGTTGAAACATATTCCAACCATTTTGTGTTGTAAAAGCTAGAACCAATAATATGATGGTATCAAGTTGGGCAACGAGAGCAAATATTTCAAAGAAATCAACTCCATATTTTTTAGCATATCCCTTCACTGCAAGCCTAGTCTTGTGCTTATTAATGGAACCATCTACATTGAGTTTTGTTCTAAACACCCATTTGACACCAATAACATTTTGATGTTGAGGTCTAGAAACCAATTCCCAGGTTTGGTTCTTTTCAATCATGCAAAACTCCTCCTGCATTGCAACAATACACTTTGGATCCTTTTCTGTTTCAAAAAAATTTGCAGGTTCTAATATAGCAACATTACATCTTTCATAAATATCATAAAGTAATCTGGTTCCTCTAACTAGTGGATCAACATTATTTTCATCAAAAATTTCATCTTTTTCTTCTGTAAAAGAAAAATTAGGAACTTGCTTCCAATCATCTTTCTCCCAGCTCTGTTTTTTATCTTCAACAAAACAAACATCTCTGCTTATGAGAATCTTACCAGTTTGTGGTTGGTAAACTCTATAAGCTTTTGAAGATGTGCTATAGCCAATGAAAATTCCTGCTTTTACCTTTTTGTCTAGCTTATCTCTTTTCACCTTTGGCACATAAGTAGAACAAATATAGCCAAAAACTTTGAAGTTATGAACAAAAGGTTTATAGCCATACCATGCTTCATAAGAATTTTCTCCTGGCATAGTGTAGGAAGCCTATTTAATAGAAACACAGTCGTAATTGCAGCTTCAGCCCAAAACTTCATCGGAAGTCCTTTCTCATGCATCATGCTTCTAGCCATCTCCATTATTGTTCTATTTTTCCTTTCACTCACTCCATTTTGTTGTGGAGTGTAAGGAGTAGTAAGTTGGTGCTCAACCCCAACTTCTTCACAGAAAGAATTAAATTGATCTGAAATGTACTCTTTTCCATTATCAGATCGTAGAACCTGAATTTTATAGCCATATTGATTTTCAATCCAAGCCTTGAACCTCCAGAAAATTCGTGCAACTTCATATTTAAATTTCAAGAAATAAATCCAACACATTCTTGTTAAATCATCAATAAAGAGAATGTAATATTTACTCCCATTTAGAGATAATTCAGGTAGAGGTCCTCCAAGGTCTGTGTGAATCAATTGCAGTTTCTATAATACTCTCCAACTAGTTTGTGAAAATGGTAGCCTGTACTGTTTCCCATATTGGCATGCATTATAATTATTTAAGTCAGTTTCTAATGATGGCAAGCTTTCCACAATATTGTGCTTCTTCATGTTCAATAGTGCAACATGGTTAAAATGACCCATTCTCTTGTGCCAAAGCTTAGTGACATTAATCGTGCTTGAAACAGCAGCTTGCACCTCTTCCATTAAATCTAAAGAGAAGCTTTTTCCCTTCATTTTGACCTTGAATAGATCATGTCCACTTGTATCTTTGATCAAACACATTTCGTCTTCAAACAGAATTTTGTAGCCTTTTTCAAGCAACTATCCAACACTTAACATGTTTTGATTAATTTCAGGTACATAAAGTACATCAGTGATTATTTTGTACCTAAACAACTTTCAATTGCAACACTGCCCTTCCCTTTCATAGTTATGCACTCTTCATTACCAATTCTGACTTTTAAAACAATTGTCCTATCCAACTCCTTGAACAATTCTTCACCATAAGTCATATGATGTGTGCATCCACTATCAATCAACTAGCTCACACAATTATTATTGGTGGCAACACAAGTTTCTACAAATAACTGCTCTTCCTCCTCTTGTTGATTAGCCACTTAAGCCTCTGTTTTGCAATATGCCTTTTGCAATATGTTACAGCGTGCATTGGGTCTTCTCCAACATCTGAAGTGGTGATGATTTCTCTTTCCACAATGTTGACAAGGAGGATGATTTGGTTTCTCATCATCTCCTTTACCACCTTTGTTAGAACTTTCTCCTTGCTCAAAGTTGTTCCCTTAAGCCTTTTTTTTCTTTCCTTTGTAACCATGAATAAGTTTCAGTTTCGCATGTAAAGCACCTTTAATCACGCCTTCCTCCCTCACGAGTCTCATCTGTTCTTAGGCTTGCAAAGCATACATCAATTTTGCCAAAGTAATATTTGACAGATCCTTAGAATTTTCCAAAGAGGAAATAATGGATTCAAACCTCTCAAGAAGAGTCACAAGGATTTTCTACACTATCCTTGTATCAGAAAATTCTGTCCCAAGCAACCTCACCTTGTTTACAATGCTTAGAAGTCTATTAGAATATTTTTTCACCCTTTCTGACTCCTTTATCCGTTGCATCTGAAACTCCCTGGTCAAATTCAACACTAGCATCCCTTTGACTCTCTCATTTCCTTCATACTCTTGTTTGAGAAAATCCCGTATAGCCCTTGCTGACTTTAGAGTCACAATTCTGGTGAAGATTGATTGAGAAACAACAAAAAATAGACAAGACTTTGCCTTTGATTTTCACTGCTTTCTTTTCTTATGATAATTGATTTGATTAAGTGTTGGATTTTCTAGTAATTGACCAACCTCATAATCCTCCTCAACAACTTCCCAAAGATCATTTGCATCAAGAAAAGCCTCCATTCTGACTCTCCATAGGTGATAATTCTCACAATCAAATGCCGGTAGTGTTTGGACTGAATAATCAGATTGCATTTTTAATTCTCAATATAAGTGTTTAGGTGTTTGGTGGAACTCTCAACCTTACACGTCCCTCAAGAACATAATAAGCTCTTGATACCAATTGTAGGAATTCAGAAAAATTATAAGGCTGAAACTCATGTATTTTTATTCATACTTGTAACCTTTAAATACACAAAACACAATTGAAAGCTGATACAAATTCTGTTCATAAACCTAAAACTAAATGACAAATATAAATACTCATAAAAGTGTAACAACACTTGTAATTCCTATAATTAAAATTCATAACCGTAAGAATTCTAATAATGCTCCATTAATCTAAAATAAACTCAAATAATAGATGTTGATTCAGATTAACACAAACTTATACTTCAGCAGATTGTCTTATGGACTTGGAGAATAGTTTTATCTAGTACGAGTTAAAAAAATGGAGTAATTTAAAGTGAATTTAGGCCATTTACCAAGTCAGAGATAAGACTAAGAAATATCTGGAGAATATTGTTAAAAATGTGCTTTTGTAACTGAAATTTAGTTATTATTATTTTTTATTAAGCATTAACGGAGTCAATAAGTGGTTCCTAAACGTTAGGAGTAAGATAATTATGTTTTAATTTTGCTGAAATCCTGGTTAGGTGCATTTTTGTTTTCAAATTATATATTGTACTGCAGCTCATTGAAATAAAATGTGAGAGAATAATTATTCATTTTTTACTCTTCCACAATACGTATTGTCTTTCTCTTCTTCTCTCAATTTTACGATTCTCACAATAAAACCTTCAGATTGGTATCAGAGCCTTCTTCTTAGAAGGACCTGTGAGTGAACCTAGTAAAACCCACCATAAAAGCCTATACGCCTTGTTTCAGTTCATCAAAGATGGATTCTGAAACTCCTTACACAGCACTAGCACCGCCTGTGTTTGATGGTGATAATTATCACATCTGGGCAGCAAGAATGGAGGCACACCTTGAGGCAAATGACCTTTGGGAAGCTGTTGAGGAAGACTACGATGTTCCTCCTTTACCAACCAATCCAACTATGGCTCAGATTAAACATCATAAGGAGAGGAAAGCAAGAAAGTCAAAGGCAAGAGCTACTTTATTTGATGTTGTCTCACAAGACATTTTTACCATAATCATGACAATCATATCAGCATTTCAAATCTGGAATTTCCTCAAGGATGAATATGGAGGAGATGAAAGGATCAAGGGAATGCAAGCACTGAATCTGGTTAGAGAATTTGAGATGCAAAAAATGAAGGAGTCAGAAACAATCAAGGAGTATGCTAACAAACTTCTTGGCATTGCAAACAAGGTGAGATTACTAGGTACTGAATTTTCTGATTCAAGAATAGTTCAGAAAATATTGGTAACAGTTCCTGAAAAATTTGAGGCTTCTATTACCTTATTGGAAAATACTAAGGATTTGTCAAAGATCACCTTGGAAGAACTTGTAAGTGCTATGCAGGCCCAAGAGAAAAGGAGCAAAATGAGGGATGAAGTTTATGTGGAAGGAGCATTGCAAGCTAAATTGCAAATAAACCAAGCAGAAAAGAAAAAAATGAAGAATTAAAAGAAGAACTTCAAAGGTTCAGAAGCAACCACCAACACCAGCAAAAATAACGAAAAAGGGAACAAAGAGTTTCCTCCTTGCAAGCATTGTGGCAAAATGGGTCATCCTCCTTTCAAATGTTGGAGAAGACCCGATGTCAAGTGTGAAAAGTGAAACAAGCTAGGACATCATGTGAGAATTTGCAAAAGCAATTTTCAACAGAAGAATGAAGCTCAAGTTGTTGGCCAGCAGGAGGAAGAACGATTGTTTGTAGCAAAATGTTTTACAAGCAGTAGTTCAACTGAATGTTGGTTAGTAGACAGTGGTTGTACCAATCACATGACCCATGATCAAGAGCTTTTTATAGAGCTGGACAGATCAAAGGTATCAAAAGTCAGAATTGGTAATGGTGTTTTCATTACTGCTGAAGGAAAGGGAACTGTAGCCATTGAAAGTTGCAAAGGTACAAAATTAATTTACGATGTTTTGTAAGTGCCTGAAATTGATCAAAACTTGCTTAGTGTCGGACAATTACTTGAGAAGGGATTTAAACTCAACTTTGAAAATAAGCATTGTTTTATTAAAGATGTCAATGACAAGGAAATTTTCAGTATTAAAATGAGTGGCAGAAGTTTCACTTGATCCCATGGAGGAGGAGCAGGCAGCATATCCAGCTACTACAAATAGTACAGAGATTTGGCACAAAAGGTTGGGTCATTTTCTTCATGCAGCTGTGTTGAATATGCAACGAAAGGAATTGGTTTGTGGCTTACCTCACTTAGATTCTAAATTACCAAGCTGCGAAGCATGTCAATATGGCAAGCAAACAAGATTACCATTTAAGCAAGCAACTTGGAGAGCAACAAAGAGGCTGTAGTTAATTCACACTGATTTGGTTGGACCTCAAAGGACGACTTCACTTAAAGAAAGTAAATATTATATCATCTTCATAGATGATTTTCCAAAATGTGCTAGATTTACTTTCTCAAGTCTAAGTCAGAAGTTGCAGGTGTATTTTGGAGATTTAAGTGGCTGCATGATTCAAGCTCTGAGGTCTGATAATGGCAAGGAGTACATTCAGAACAATTCAACATGTATTGTGGGGAAGCTGGCATTGAGCATCAATTAACAACTCCTTATACCCCTCAACAAAATCACTATAAGAAAAATGTAAATTTCCGACGGATATGGATCCGTCAGAAATTTCCGACGGATTTATATTTCCGTCAGAAATTTTTGACAGAATTTTCCGTCAGAAATTTTCCGTCGGAAATTTTCGACAGAAATATAAATCCGTCAGAAATTTTCGACAGAAACCTTCTGACGGAAAATTCCGTCAGAAAATTCTAGCAGAAAAATAAATCCGTCGAAAACTTCTGCCGGAAAATTTCAGACGGAATTATTCCGTCAGAAATTTCTGACGAAATTTTCCGTCAGAAATTTTACGGCCCGTTCCAAAATCGCAACGGCCCGTTCTAGTTATGGCCGTTATGTATAAATTTTGTAACTGGAACGACCCGTTCTGAAATTGGAACGGCCCGTTTCAGAGACAAAATTAACACATCATTTGGTAT